GGAGGTAGTTCATCTGCGAGCTGTCTTTACTGCGCCTAATCGCTTTTCGGTGTTGGTGCATTCTCTAAATTTTGCACGAAATGTTTTTCTCTTTTTTTCTAAAGAGATGCGAATGCTACCAAGCAAAAGAAATTCACTTGCAACTATTTTAAGTCATTGAAGCTCTATTGAAGGAAGAGCATGATTCAGTGCTTTAATTTCTTTGATTAAACCAAACGTAGTGAATTCCAATATTCGCTCATTGTGCACCGAAATCTGCACATTGGTTACTGTGTTTATTCGACTGTCATATGATTGGAATCACATTGGGAATCATTACAAATACTTGAATAGAGCATGAATTCAACAGTACAATCTTGTTGGGTTACGGTGAACGAAAGGAGCATCTGTTTTAGACGAAAGAATTTTGTTGTAGACAAATTTCATACAAATATTGAGTAGATTATTTTCCTGTTTACTAGCTTTTACAGCCCTCAAATGCATGTCACTCAATTGAATTGCTCGATTTTAGAATATTTTGACTAGGGCCTGTCTCGCTCTATAACCCACTGTCAAAAATTAACTAATTTCTTTCCTACTGTAGTTGCCATTTGTTTGTTTTAAATATCTGAAACACCTAGAATTTATGCAATTATTTGGTCACATTTTTCGAAATATTTTTATGAATACTATAGCTCATTACAAAAGCAAGTTGAGATTCTCTCTTTGCAATCTAAGATAGAATTTGGATATGGCATTTCAGTAAAATTAGTTTCTTTTTAAAAAGTGGGACCATATAATATTAATCAGCTATGCCAACAAGCAATGTTTCACCAGCTTTGTATTCATAAGGCGCTAATTATTAGGCCATCATCTGGAATCACTCCAGGTTGAGAGGAATGATATAGGATGTAAATGCTCTATATTCTCTTTACTTCGCAACTTGAACAGATTGCTTATTACTACATAGAATAGCGAACTAAATTGTGAAAATAGTCTTCACCTTGTTTATTCGTTCTCTAGCTTTATATTTGCGCAATAGAAGGAATTTGGGCAAATTCCGTCTACTACAGTGGAGAGGGTACGGTATGGCTCTGCAGACAGTCTTTTGGCAAGCGTAGGCTATTTTTTTTAAACCATTGTAACTCTACAGTAGGACATCGCTTTCAAAACGAATATTTTTTTCTAGTCGGCATACTGTATCGCCATTAGTACTAAATAGTTCAAAAGATTTCTCAAGGTCAGAACTGGGATTGAATGATAAGTTCTTCATCTCATCAATTTTTTTGGCCTAAGTGATCAGTTGAGCCGTTAGAACCAGTATCTACTTGACTTTGCGTGTACGTATGTGCTAGATCTCAGTCCAACACATGAAGCATTCGTCTGTGTGCTGCGCTCGGAGCGGGTTGGTTGCCCTTTTGCTAGAGCTTTCAGCTAAGATGATCTTATTGACTTGACCTTTTCTTGAAACACTTCAGTCCTTGGGCTTTATAACTTTAAAATATTCTTTTAATATCAGAATATTTCCGGAATATTTTGAAGTTTTAAAAATATGTCCCGGAGAGCACGTTGTCTTCAATCCTCGATTTCTCTGCTTGTCTGTGTCGTCGGAGGACGATGTGCTCCCTCGTCTTGATTAGCGTCTGCGTCTACGCGCCATAGTACACTCTCGTCGATTCAGATGCTGACCGCTCGTCTCATTTGTGCTCGTGCTTCCGCAGCCAACGCCGTCTTCTTCGCCTCGTCTAGGAACTTCTCCAGAACAACATTCGTCATGGCAGGGGTAAGTATAGCAGTTACCTATTGGTTACCAATACCTATGCGTTCGCCAGGTTCTAGAGATGTAGACCGGGTTATGTGGATACCTTAGTTGGATGGCTAGAAATGCTTACGCATAGGCGGGATCGATGCTTATAAACTTACATTTTTGCTCGAGGGTGCAAAATTTTTCTGTTATAGTGGAATATGCAAATAGCCTCTGTCATTGCTTTTAGCATGATTTGCGAGAAAGATTTTTAGAGTGCTGGTTGGCAAGAAGAAATGAGCAATTTCATGGCCTTTATATATCGCCTTTCGAAGAGAAATTCTCAGAATTTTGCCCCAAACGTCTCTTTTCCACCAATCGGTAGTGAAGAAAAAACTTCATTCTTCTCTCTTCTTCTCGTTGGTTAACTGAGAATCTTCTGAACTAGGGACTTTATAATCTTTGAAGAAACCTTACATCTTCCGCTCTCTCTCGTCATCGTACGACATACCCAGTGCAGAAAGATTAGCTGTCGACTTCATAGCT